CCATATTACAACCATATATATAGGCATAAAGAAAGCTTTTGAAAGGGCATAATAAATGCTAAAAACTACTCCTCTTCTCAAGGCTACAACTTCCTAGAGTAGAGTAAATATGGCTGACTATTTCCAACACTCCCCTCAAGTTTCAAGAAAGGGGGACTAGGGGAGTATTGCCATCAACAACCATCCATGTTTTGTTCTTTCATCGCTATGGGCTTCTCTTTTATCGCTTTGGCTATCTTCATGGGCTTCTCTTTTATCGCTTTGGCTATCTTCATTGCTATGGATCATAATTCATATGCACCCATTTGTTGTTCCTGTTCCATTTCACCTTTACTACTCTTGATGAAGGTTTTTTGACATTTGTTTTAGAGTGTTTGTGTCACTGTGTTATCTTGATGTTGTTCATGTTCGAATCCATCCTTGAATCTTTCATCTTCATTCCAAGGGTTGTGTAGTTTTTGTGTATAGCACTATAGCACTATTATCCTCTAGCCGAATTTAATCTTCATCTGTAATTTTGAGTTAGGTGAAGTGTTTGTTTTAATTCAAGCATGGAACTTCTAGATGTTCCAGCTTGAGGGGAGTGTTGAATAATAGGAAACCTTAGTCCTATTACTATTAGGAGTGGGCTTGATTTCCTATTCCAAATAGGAGTGCGTAGTTTAACCCAATGTTCCCATAGTTCAAGAAACGCAAAGAGACAATCTATTATTATTAGCATAATCATATATTCTCTCTTTCTTTGTTTTCTCACATATTTTTCTTCTGTTTAGTCACACCCACTAGGCTTTTCAATCCCCCTCAAAATCAACACACTAGTTGGAAAGTGCAATAATGTAGTATTAACCTTTTATGCAGTGTTTTTGGGTACACTTATGGTGGATAGGATTTACTGCTGAGATACCCCAAGTTCAACATATGTCTAGGGATGCACTGGTTGCGTGAAGGAGAATATGATACTAAGTTTCTAATTTTTTATTTTCTTGGGGTACATTAATTGAGGAAAGGATTTACCAGTAAGATATCCTATACCACTAATACGGTAATTATTCTTCCCAAAAGATTGATCCCCAACCCCAAAGACCCCACAACCTGGCCCGACAGAGCATCTGGAAGGATGTAAATTATGGTAACTCAGCTGAACATAGAGGCTAGACCTTTGCTTACTGTGCACAAGGAGTCCCCCTCACTTTGAGAGATAGAAGAGAAAGAGATAGAAGGAAACTTGGACAGAATTTATTTTTTTAAAAAAAGAAAGAAAGAAAGAAAGAAGATATGCTAACTCAAATTTTCAAAATTTTAAGTTTTAATAGAATTCAATAAAGACATGCAAACCAATTGCAAACTGAAGTTGAAATGCTTAGCAAACTGAACAAATAGAATCACAATCCATCAGGTTTCAGGTTATTGTTGTTGGAGTGGCATCCAGTAGTGGTACCTGAGGAAGTTGAAGCGCAGATGGTCCTACTACAGATGGTACAGAACCAGCATTTTCCACCTGATCATTCATGAAAAATTAGACTGTTATCCATTAGAAGGAAACCCCCTCCCACAAACACACAGACAAAGAAGAATATTCATCATATCTCAATGTATAATGGCAAGTGACAACATAAAACAAGCAGATGCCCAAGAGTTATGCACACTGCTCAAATCTAGACAGAGTATTAAAGACTTCTTTAAGGACAAATGCTTCTATGATTTTAAAATTATTGCATCTATTTACTACCAAACCTTCAGCTGACAGCAGATAATAGATAACAGCGTTTTGAAGCTTGAGAACATCAACTCAACTAAACTCAACCAATCCTAACCTAGTTAAGTTCAGTTATATGGATTCTGTTTCTCTATTTCATTCTCATTAATGCTACATCAGTCATAACTTCTTGCAATAGTATGTCTTTCTTAATGTCTACTCCCTTCACCTAACTTCTACAACTTCCAACTGCTCATTCTATCCATGGTCAAGCATATGCATGCTGAATACGCCCACATTATCTTAATCTATAAACATCTTCAAAGGAAACGCCACAGGAGGAAGTCAGCAAGTTTTGAAAAATACACAAACACATAGATACCGTGTTTTATCCCTCAGGAACTTCATGCAATATTGAGCCAAGTACTTTGCAATAATCATCCAAATTCATGTTCATATTTGTCATTAATTCTAAAAGACAAGGCTTCAGTTTGGCAGCACACTTTTCCAAGACTTCTTTTCCCAATAGCGTTGAACAAGGTGCAGTAGCCTAGATAAAAACATACCTAGTTAATCAAATAATTGAAAACAATGTTTGGAGATAGCATCAATATTTGCATAGTGATTATTACCAGAGTTCTCTTTCTGAGGCTATCAAGAATGGACACTTGAAAATCTAGTGAGACTTCATCTCTTTCTTCTATGAGCTGAGACATGATGTCTACCATGTATCTTAATACAACATTGGTATGGTTGAAGCTTAATAAAAAGTTAAGGGTCAATTCTATAGACTCATTAAAGAGTACAAATGTACAATATAGCAGAACATTATACTATAGTGTGTATGCTTCCAAGGAAACTGACTTGGTGAAAATATCAAAATTATACGCTATATGATATGAATTAGAAAATACCTGATGATAAAGAAATGCTGAATTGGAGTTGACAGAGAATGATCGATTTATATGCTCATTTATGCGCGGTTGTACAATGCTGTGTTTGTAATCCTGTCTGGATTCTTATGCTCTTTGTGTGATTAATTCCATTCCATACCAAACAAATTCCATATGTGCTTTTAAGTCGCGCTCTGAAGAATCAATTGCCAAAGAGCGGATTTGTATTTTTGTTTTTTGTATTTTGAGGAGAAGGGCGTTGGAGATGGCCTTGATGAGCCATGCATTGAAATAGGTTTGTTCATTCTGCAATTGCAGCTAGTTCATCACATCACAGTTGACTCTCCTTGCCTTGAGGAGATCCTTCGTTGGGAGACAGTTCACGCACAATTGCCAGAAAAAAAATCCTCACCTTTGGGTTCACAAAAAAATTGTTATGCTGTGCACGCATGGTGCACACGGTTGCAAACGACGTCGTTTCACTATTGTGGAGTAACGGTGCCGTTAGTGACACCATTTAACTCCACCAATCATTTTTTTAGGGAAAAGGGTCAAATAGACCCTCAAACTATTGCTCAAAAGTCAATTAGGCCCTCCAACTTTTTAAAGATGCAATTACACCCCTAAACAATGTATTTTGATGCAATGAAGCCCAAATACAGGTAATGACCTGCTATCCCAGGTCATTACAAATCCGGCGACATTCTGGCATATTTTCAGGTAAAAAAGTGACCGCCGACCGGTCGCTGTTCACGGAGACCCCTCCCGGAGAAGGCCACGCGCCGGAGAAGGCCACCACAGTGGTGGCCTTCTCCGGCAACCCAAATCTGGGTGCCTTCTCCGGCGAGAAGGCCACCACTGTGGTGGCCTTCTCAACCGGAGAAGGCAACCGAGATTTGGGTTGCCTTCTCCGGCGGGTGGCCTTCTCCGGGAGGGGTCTTCGTGACCAGCGACGTCGCCGGTCATTTTTTTGCCTGAAAATATGTCGGAATGTCACCGGATTTGTAATGACCTGGGATAACATGTCATTTACCTGTATTTGGGCTTCATTGCATCAAAATACATAGTTCAGGGGTATAATTGCCTCTTAAAAAAGTTGAAGGGCTAATTGAATTTTGAGCAATAGTTTGAGGGCCTATTTGACCCTTTTCCCTTTTTTTTATTACACATCCATAACTTCATAAATATAAATTCAGAATTGCATAACTACATATTCATAACTTCATAACTATACATTCAGAATTGCATAACTACACATCCATTAACTTCATAACTATAAATTCAGAATTTCATAACTACACATCCATAACTTCATAACTATACATTCAGAATTGCATAACTACACATTCATAACTTCATAACTATACATTCAGAATGTGAAATTATAAAATTATGAACATATGTTAGTTACTAACGACAATTGAAAATGATTTTTTTTTTTTAAAAGTAAAACGACGCCGTCCTCATCTCCCTTCCTCTTCCTCTTTACTCCATCAGGAAGCAAAGTCAGTCAGTTACACGCCCCTGTAAATTGCATCCATGTTATGTTACAAAGAGGCAGTTGGCTAACCAATAAAATCATAGCTTGCTAACTAGATAATATACAATGTGGGAATTTAACTCACTTCTATGACTGGAACCTCTTCAACAAATCATAGCTTGCTAACTAGATAATGTACAACGTAGGAACTTAACTCACTTCTTTGACTGGAACCTTTTCAAGCAATTCCCAGCGCTCACATCTGAGATTCAAGATTTCTACATCATCATCAGTGTATATGACCTACAACAGTACAGTAACAGAAAGCAACTTAGCACATTAAAATTTAAGGAAGATACGAGATTAAGCCAATACATCATGATACAGATGTTTAAAATCTTTCCATGAATGTGATGAAGAATCAATGCATGCTCTGATTGCTCTCTTGAAATAGAGGAAACAAAGACATGATTCCACCACATTTTTAATGTGCTTTAAGGCTTTAAACTATAATTATAGACCTTTGGGGCTTTTCCCTAGCTCTTGTTAATCTAGGTACAAGAAGGCTATGCCCTCTACTTAAAATCTGCTCTCCTGGGCTTGGCTTTGTGTAGTACAACATTTGGCCTCTAAGTAAAAAGATTAGTGTGTTATTGACAAACAAATACAGGAGAAATATCTCGAAATGGATTGGGCAGAAATTAGAATAATGGGAGTTGGTTTATAATTGCCAACATAATGGAGCATGAGTAGTGAAGATGCGTCAAACTCAGCCTAAATATCACTATCCTAGAAAAGCAAATTGTTAGGGAAGAGCATTTGCCCTTTATCTTGGAAAATCCTATTTTTGAAGATAGAAAATAGTATATCCCAAGGGCAATTATATGCAACACATAAAATACAGAAATATCTGCCCGTTGGGCTTATGTACCTTGTGCTTTTCCGTCTTAGGGTTAAAAGAAGAAATCACCCCCTCATAAAACCTGTAAAGAGAAAAGAACAGAAAATATGACAAGAATTGACTCTAATACAATGCGCTTTTTCAACCTAATGAAGCACAGAGAGCTAATATCGCTTCCACTGAGGTTCAAACCCACAACCTCCCATATAAGGGAGCAACTTGGTTCCATTGGACCACAAGGTCCATGGCAGTGCTTCTTAGACTTAAAAGAGCAAAACTTTAAAAATACATATTAAAAGAATAAATCAAAAGTGCATAAGCTACATGTTTACAAATTAAATGCAACAATTTGTATATATTTACCATAGGATTCAAATAATGTAAATGCGATATCTCAAAAGGATTCATCTTTCAGACCTATAACCTTAGGTGTCAAATTTATAAAATTGAATTTGAAGTTAAAAAACACAAGCTGTTAACAACTGAGGGAAATTGTCAAATGTTGTAATCAATGGAACAAGTGATGCTTTCCATCTCAAAAGGTAATAATGGAACAAGTGAAGCGTTCTATTTCAATGGGTACTAAGACAGTCATTCAATTTGCCCTTCTTAAGTACTTACCTTCTATCCCGGGGCCACCAGACTTTGACTTTAGTCCCTACCAACTCTTTTCCATAATCTTTAATAGTATGAAGCTTTTTAGAATCCTGAATATGAATAAAAACCATAAGTGTACACATTTGGTTATTTTGCCCAAAAGAGAGTAATGACATATAAAACAAATAGAGTAAAATGTCATAGTTAGATGCAAAATATCAATGAAATGGCTATACTGGGAAGTTCATAAATTATACATATTTTATTTACTTTATACAAAATGTCAAAAATAAGCAAATTTTAATGAAGACTAATTATGTATTACCCAATTTTCATTAGCAAAATAATAGTACTATATAACATTTGTAGTTGCTAAGAAAATTAAAAGATGTCGCATCTTAGAAATGTAATCTTAAGAAAACTGCATTTCATAAATATGACTTGTGGAAAAAAAAAAATGCCAAGCTCTTCCATAGTCATAGAGGAAGTTGGATTTAGATGAAAAGCTTTACTTCTTATCTCCTACGAAATGCATCAGACATTCTCCCTAATCCTCACCTGTCACAAACATGATTGCCTCCGTAAGGACTTCATATAGAAAGATTTCAGGCAATTGAGCAGAAGTGTTTAAAAATTGGGTTAAAAGCCACATTCTCTAATGCGGATTTTGATAGGATGAATATAGTAAAGTCTTCCAAAAGACACATTAGAGAAATGAAGCTTTAAGAATTCTCATTTCCAAAATGTGTCTCCGGACATTTTTTTTTCTTTCTATTAGTAATCCAAAATGAATTACTCACCATCCCATTTGAGCCCCTTTTACAATTCTCTCAGCCAATTTAACCAAGCTTATGTTTTTATACTAATAAATTGAATTTTGAAAATAAAAATTTATATTCTGGAGTAATAACTAATAAGTATATATTCAATCAAATACATAAGAAATGGTACTTGCCTAATTTTTAAAGAATTATGCTATATTGGAACATAAGAAATGATCATATTAAAAACAACTTTTTTTGAAACAAAGTAGAATGTGACCCTTCTCAAGGCGGACAAAGAGAATCAACTAATATTGTTTCAATAAGTTCAACACACATCTAGGGTTGCACTCATCGGGAAGTGCAATAATATGGTATAATCTTTTATGCATCCATTTTGGGTACACTTGTGGTGGATAGGATTTACCGTTGAGATACCTCAAGTTCAACATATGTCTAGGAGTCACTGGTTGCAAGAAGGATAACATGATACTAAGTTTTTAATTTTTTATTTTTTTGGGTACATGGGGGACAGTGTTTACCAGTAAGAAATTCTAAACCCCTAATATGGTACTAATTAAATCCCAATTTTTCACTACAAATTGTAAGTTATAATAAAGTTCAAGTGTAAATTTCACTTTTGGTCATATGACTATTGGGGTGTTGTCAATTTGAGACCACAACTTTCAAAACTAACAATTTAATACCCTAACTTTTCAACAATTTTAGTCAGCCCCGTCAAATTGTCGCCGAAATCATTTAATTCAGTGTTAAAATGAAAGATAATTTGTAAAGCATTATTTGAATTAATATAGAGGCAGGTGAGATGTGGATAAAAATTGGCGATAATTGGCTAGCAATTTGGCCGTACTGACTAAAATTGATAAAAAATTAAATAGTTACGGTACTAAATTGCTAGTTTTGAAAGTTGTGGACTGAAATTGACAACACCCCAATAATCATAGGATCATAATGAAATGCAATCAATTCAATACGGGATAAGGCAAAGTTGAGTTTTTTGCGATAGCCCTTCACGGTGACGTCGTCCTGACTTCTGAGTAAGATTGTGGTGTTAGTTTTTCAAACAACAGCCAGAGATGCATCGGGACAAGAGCAGTTATCGTGCAAGAGGAAAACAATATTGATTTGGTAAGAAGGAAAAAAAAAAGGGAATTTTGTTGGTGAAAGGAGCCTAGTTTGTTACCATGTGAAGAAAGATACTTGGATTTGATAGATTCAAATGGTTGGTACAACAGAGTATATATACAAGTAAGAAACCTAAACTTTAAAAATATGACTCTTCATATAAAACATTACAATGGTACCATTCCTTTGTTTAAAGCTTGCTTCCTCAAGTGTTTAGTTCTTGTGCTTATATTTTGGTGCTGATTTCGTTGAAGAGATGACTTCTCTGCAAGTCTGCATCATTGGCTATTTCTTTTTCCATCGTCTTTATACGTACAGTCAAACTAGGATGAGATGCCTCACTCTTGCATGAACTCCTCCAACGATTACCCTTGGAAGGCCTAGATGCTTCAAATCTCTTTCTCATAGTGAGATATGTGAAATCAACTTTTCCAACTGTCTTGCATAGGTTCTTGTTCTAAGAATCGCCAATGGTGTTCCATTGTCCCTTTTTTCGATAAATTTTGGTCTTTTATGAAATTTAAAGGATTTTTGGATCCGTTGTCAAGTTTCTTTCCTGAGGGAGTTCAATTTTGGTATTACCGTATTTGCTTCTTCATTTTCAGTGTGCCTTATTTGTTCCCTGAGGGTGTTGAATTTCGGCAATCGGCACTATAATATTTTATGTCCAAAGGCCATTTATTATTTCTCAAATTTCAAGAAAGGAGGGCTAGGGGAGTATTACCATGAACCACGCATGTTTTGTTCTTTCATTGCTATGGGGCTTCTCTTTATCGCTTTGGCTATCTTCATTGCTATGGACCATATGTACCCATTTATTGCTCCTGCTCCATTTCACCTCTACTGCTCTTGATGAAGGCTTTTTTACATTTGCTCAAGAGTGTTTGTGTCACTTTGTTACCTTGAGCTTGTTCATGTTCAAATCCATCCTTGATGCTTTCAACTTCATTTCCAAGGGTTGTGTATAGTGCCATGTCTTCCGACGACATTCAACACTATTATCCTCTAGCGGCATTTAATCTTCATTTGTAATTTTGAGTTAGGTGGAGTGTTTGTTTTAATTCAAGCGTGGAACTTCTAGATATTCCAGCTTGAGGGGAGTGTTGAATAATAGGAAGCCTTAGTCCTATTCCTATTAGGAGTAATCTTGATTTCCTATTCAAGGTAGGAGTGGTTTAACCCAATGTTTCTATAAATATAGAATCTCTATACACTATATACCGTTTAAGAAACATAGAGAGACAATCTATTATTATTAACATAATCATATATTCTCTCTATTCCAAGTATTCTCACATATTTTGCTTCCGCTTAGTCACCACCCACTAGGCTTTTCAATCCCTCACAATCAACACACTCGTTGGAAAGTGCAATAATATAGTATTACCTTTTATGCATTCTTTTTTGGTACACTTACGGTGGAAAGGATTTACTGTTGAGATACCCCAAGTTCAACATATGTCTAGGGGTGCACTGGTTGCAAGAAGGAGAATATGATACTAAGTTCCTAATTTTTTTAATTTTCTTGGAATACATTAAGGGTGTAGGAAAACACTAAAGTCAAAGGAATATGATACCCCAAGTTCAACATATGTCTAGTGTTTGGTAAGTAGGAAAACACTAAAGTCAATGGAAAATGAAGTTGGGTCAATGGAAAATAGAGTCATTTTTATGGAAAAGGACTTCCCCCTTTTTTTTTTAGGGGAAGTCATTTTCCGCTTCAGGCTTCTTCTCCGCTTCTTCGCTTCGCTTCTCGACACCACATCACTTCTCAACATCGGAAACTATTTTCCGACATGGAATCATCTAGTTCTGGATTTCCAAGTCGGAAACCAAACTGGTTTCCGACTTGGAAACCCAGATTTTGGATTTCCAAGTCTGAAACCAATTTGGTTTCAGACTTGGAAATCCAGAATATGGTTTTCCAAGTTGGAAACCATTGGTTTCCGACATGGAAATCCAAAATCTGGGTTTCCTAGTCGGAAACAAGTTTGGTTTCCGACTTGGAAAACCAGATACCCGGAAACCAGATTGGTTTCCTTGACCAATCTGGTTTCCGGCAATTGGTTTCCTTGCCGGAAATCAAACCATTCTCTGGTCTGGTTTCCGACAAGGAAACCAGATCAATGTTATTAAAAAAAAATTAATATTTTTTTTTGGGTTTATATATCAAGTCACATCTATTGTATGTTTTCATGCTAATTCTCTGGAAAATGAACCAAACACATAAAGACAATTTTCTGTTGTGTAGCCAAACACCGGAAAAGAAAATATTTTCTGGAAAATGACTCATTTTCTAGAAGTTATTTTCCTGCTTTCCAAACGGAGCCTAATAGAGGACAGAATTTAGCAGTAAGATATCCTAAACCACTAATATGGTACTAATTAGAGATAGAAGAGAAAGTGGCAAATGGAAATTTATGTTTTAATAGAACTCAATAAAGAGATGCAAACCAATTAGTTATGGGTTAAGGCAATGCAGAAATATAATGATTAGCAAACTGAATAGATAGAATCACAAAGATTACTCTAACCAGAAATCTAGAGAATCTGCAAGCACCATTACAGTAGTACCTTTTCTTTAAGTTTTCTCTGGGCAGACCTAGTCCCTTCATATCTCTTTTGCACGGTGAGATCTGTCTGATTCTTCTTTCGTTGGCCCCTTTTGCAAGGACTTTTTGTGCTGCTGGGGGCTAACACATCAGGCTTAGTCGCAGACTCCTTTCCAGTTACAGCTGGCAAAGCTAACACAATTGAAGTTGCATTAATGTCCAATGAACTCCAAGATTTCTTCTCTTGTTCCTTCTTGATAGTAGGTTCTTCATCAGAGCGTTTGCTTTCGTTCATCCCAAAAGATGCCTTCAATGACCCATCAAGTTCTAGGTTATTGTTATTGTTATTCATTGTTTGAGTGGCATCCAGTAGTGGTACCTGAGGAAGTTGAAGAGCAGATGTTCCTTCTACAGGTGGTACAGAACCAGCATTTTCCACCTGATCATTCACGAAAAAAATGAAAAATTAGATTGTTATCCATTAGAAGGAAACCCCCTCCTCCCACAAACACGGAAGAATATCATATTCATCATATCTCAATGTAGAATGGCAAGTGACAGCATAAAACAAGCAGATCAGATTCCCATGACTTAAATCTAGACAGTATTAAAGACTTCTTCTTTAAGGATAAATGGTTCTATGATTTTAAAATTAAGGGAAAATTGCATTTTTGGTCCTCCAGTTATACTTGTGGTACAGACATAGTCCCTGAGTTATATGCGTGGCCATCTTTAACCCCTAAGTGATGCATAGAGTGGCAATTTGAGTCCTTGAAGGACCAAATCAGCCACTTTAGTAAGTAACAAATTGGTGGTAGAAAGTCCCTGAGGGACTAAAATCGCCACTTCGTGCATAACTTAGAGGTTAAAGATGGTCACGCATATAACTCAGAGACTAAGTTTGTACCATTTTTATAACTGAAGGACCAAAATTGCAATTTTCCCTAAAATTAATGCATCTCTTGACTACCAAACCTTACGCTGACAGCAGATAATAGATAACAAAGTTTTGAAGCTTGAGGGCATAACCTCAACCCAACTCAACCAATCCTAGCCTAGTTAAATTCAGTTATATGGATTCTGTTTCTCCATTTCATTCTCATTAATGCTACATGCCTACATCAGCTTCTTGCAATAGTACGTCTTTCTTAATGTCTACTCCCTTCACCTAGCCTCTAGCCTTCTACAGATTCCAACTGCTCATTCTATCCAAGAGCATACGCTGAACACACCCAAATTATCTTAATCTATAAACATATCTTCTGATCTTCAAAGGAAATACAACAGTAGAAAGACAACAAGTTTAATGAAAAATACGCAAACACATAGATACCATGTTTTCTCCCTCAGGAACTTCATGCAATATTGAGCCAAGTACTTTAGAATAATCATCCAAATTCATGTTCATATTTGTCATTAATTCTAAAAGACAAGGCTTCAATTTGGCAGCACACTTTTCCAAGACTTCGCTTCCCAATATCGTTGAACAAGGTGCGGTAGCCTAGATAAAAAACATACCAAGTTAATCAAAAAATTGAAAACAATGTTTTGAGATAGCATCAATATTTGCATAGTGATTATTACCAGAGTTTCCTTTCTGAGGCTATCAAGAATGGAAACTTGAAAATCTAGTGAGACTTCATCTCTTTCTTCTATGAGCTGAGACATAATGTCTACCATGTATCTTAACACAGCATTGGTATGGTTGAAGCTTGATAAAAAGTGAAGGGTCAATTCTATAGACTCATTAAAGAGTACAAATGTACAATGTAGCAGAATATTATACTATAGTGTGTAACGCTATATGATATGGACAACTAGAAAATACCTGATGATTTTGAGAAACAGTTGGAAAACATTAACAGCTAACACATAGTCAAAATCCAATAGCACCACACACAACCTGTACTTCGCAACCGCTTCAAGAACTCTCAGAGCCTTACTATAGTAGTTACTATCAATGAAATATAACTTTTCAAGGGATGCTATAATCCGATGGAAAACGACCTGAGAACCAAAAGATGATATTTTTAAACATAGATGCACATATATGATATATGTTAGACTGCTCAAGTAGAAAGAAATAATAAATAAATAAATTCCAGACTCAATGAGCATCTCCTCAAGCTCCTTTTGTGATGGAAGAGGTGCAGCAGCAGCAGGAGAAGCCATCATTCTCAGCAAACAGAGTTCTCCCCTTCAATCAAGACTGAAAACCCTAGAACTAAAGAACCCAAATTGTACTTCACTCGAAAAGAGGACCCACAGACACCCAATCCAGCAAATGTAAATCCGGGTAAAGAAATTCTGAATTGGAGTTGACAAAGCGGATAAAGAAATGCTGAATTGGAGTTGACAAAGCCGATAAAGAAATTCTGAATTGGAGTTGACAAAGCGGATAAAGAAATGCTGAATTGGAGTTGATAAAGAACGTAACGAACGGTTTGTGTGTGGATTCCTGCTCATTTTTGCGTGGTTGTACAATGTTGAGTTTGGAATCCGTGTAATCCTGCCTGGATTCTTCTGCTTTTTGCGTGATTAATTCCATTCCATACCAAACAAAATCCATATGCGCTTCTAAGTCGCGCTCTCAAGAATCAACTGCCAATTGTCGCCAAAGCTCTCTGTTTTTGAATTTTTGTTTTGGAGGCGAAGGGCCTTGGAGATGGCCTTGAATGTCTCTGATAAAATATAGTGAAAATTACATTTTTCCCCTTAATATGTTATAGTATTTTTCCTCTTGAATTATTCATACATTTATATTTGTTCCTTCAATTCTTCTAAAATTGACATTTTTTGTTCAATTTTAAATATGTTTTTAGATTATTAAAAATAATAGTAAAATAAGTAAAAGACACTATTTACAAATATTATAATTATAATTTTAAATTATGCTAGTAACAAAATTAATACTTGAATACAAATTTAGTAATAATAAATTATATGTGTTTAAGTCTTAATTCGGTTGTTAGCATTATGTTAAAATTATAATTATGGAGTATAATATGTGTAAATGGTGCTTATTTTTGCATTTATTTTTATTCTCATATATAAGCCAGTTTTCAGTAGGGATGGCAATGGGTCGGGTGTGGGTCGGAGAGGGCTACATCCATCACCCGACCCACCTTATATTTTCTTCACCCACCCCCACATCCAACCCGCATCGCGTGGACTTTTTCAGAACCCACCCCCACCCCCACCGGGTGCGGGTGCCCACTACGGGCACCCACCACTTATCATCTTATTATGTTTTTTCAAAAAATAATATTTAAATTATTTACACATAATTAAAAAAATAAAATCTATTAGTGATACTAAAACATAAATAGTGGAAATATTTAAATATAATAACTAAATTGTTAATTTTTAAAAATAAACTTAGTAGTTTTGATATAAAAAATAGTAAAAAGATACACATAGTTATATAAACTTTTATAAATAGCTACATACTAGTACTTATTTTACTATTTTATATATATATATAGGGAAAAATGTAAAAAATGCCCCTCTATAATATGCCAATTATCAATGTCACCCCTGAATTATAAGTGGTGTAAATATTGCCCCTCAATTATCAAAATGGTGCACATATAGCCCCTCCCGTAACGGACATGCATGGTGGGTCGGGTGGGGTTCTAAGCGGGTCTTGTACATAGAACCCGAATCCAACCCGACCCACCGCAGGTTTGCTTTTTCGAAACCCACCCCCGATCCACCACCCACCATCACCCAAAAAAAACCCGATCCATGCGGGGTGAATTCGGGTGGATATCCACGGGTTGGATTGAAATTGCCATCCCTAGTTTTCACTTAGGGAGGGACATTACTTTTTCATATTGAGACCCAATCTTTCTTGTTATCAGTATTCTTCTCACCCACAAGAGTCTTGACAAATTATGCTATGGACCCGTGTCCACCATGTGCAAGGTGGACACGTTGTAGATTCATAATTTCTATATTGTAGATTCATAATTTCTATACTATAGATTTATAAAATTTATACTGTAGATTCATAATTTCTATACTACACATTCATAATTTCTGTACTGTATGAATCTACATTATAAATTTTATGAATCTACAGTATAGAAATTATGAATGTACAGTATAGGAATTATGAATCTACAGTACATAAATTATGAATGTGCAGTATAGAAATTAGGAATCTACATTATAAATTTTATGAATCTACAGTATAGAAATTATGAATTTACAGTATAGAAATTATGAATGTATACATGATGGACACGGGTCCACAGCATAACGCTCCAAGAGCCTTGTAACAACTTTTAAGTGTAAAGTGACCTCAGCCTTCCCTCATCCAAATTAGTTTATCATCTCTTTTGAGCATGGGCATGGGAATGTTGGTGATGAGAGTGGCGTCACAATGGTTAAATAAATTATGAATTGTGTCCAAGTCCCAACTTTGATCCTGGTTTTTGAGGAGGGAGGAAATAACAACATTTTCCAAAAAGGGAAAGGAGGCGTGGTGATCTGTGGATTTGAGGGATCACGAAGTTATATGTCTCTCCAAATATTAATGGAGTTACCATTACGAATCCTCCAACATTTATGATTTCTGATGATTTCCTTGATGGTTAAGAGATTGTTCCAAACAAAGGATGGGTTGCTGCAACTCCTAACATCTAAGAATGAGGAGCCTGGGTAGTATTTTGCTTGGAAGACTCTTGCAACAAAGGATGAGGGGAATTGAATGAGTCTTCAAGCTTGCTTGCATAACAGTGCGACGTTAAAGAGGTCCAGTTTCTGAAAGCCAATACCACCCCAATCTTTGGGAATACAAAGGTGTGACCAAGATTTCCATTGAATATCGTTACGGTTGCAATAGTTTGCTCCCCACCAGAAAGCATTCATAGCACATTCAATCTCTCTCACAAACTCCTTTGGTATTTGAAATATGCTCATAGCATAGGAAGGTAGTGCTTGTATCACACTTTGTATAAGAACTTCTTTTCTGGCTCTTGATAAGAATTTGTGACTCCAGCCGCTGATTCGGCTGGGAACTTTATTCTTAAAGAATCCCAAAATCTGCTTTTTGTTTCATCCTACTACAAGTGATGGGTAAGCCAAGATAATTTATAGAATTCCCTATCTCTCCAATCTCTATAATGTTGCTTATCATAGATCTCATATTGTCATTAACATTAAGGCTGGGGAAAATTAAGAGTTGTGTTATTCACATTCAAACTTTTCTCCTTCCAATAAAGTGTTTCATGTTTCACGTCTCAAAATGAAATGGTCTCACACACTTATTTTTTTTCTCTACCCATCAATTATAAGTCATATTATGAAAGAATTTATGAGATATAAAAAGCATTTTCTCCATATTAAATTATTTGTGAAATAATATAATAATTATCTTCTCCCAAATATAATAACTATCTTATAAGAGCCAATGAAAGTTATATTACTCAATTATATCCATTTTTTTATGCTTTTCAAGTTGTACATTATTTTTAAAATAAAATATAAATTTTGTCATAATTAAAAGTTGTAGTTATACTTTGAGTAAAAGTACCTTGTTAACCAAGGGCCTTGTTCAATGGTACCTTGTTGTTCCCTTATGTGGGAGGTGATAGGTTCAAGCCTTAATGGAGGTATTTGCATGTTACATGTAGTATTCGTTCATAATCCAACAAGTTATTACTATTCGAGAATATATATTGGGTCATTCGCATGTTAGATGTAGTTCATTAACCAACAAATTCCACTCGGGCACTACTTTCGGAGCATTATATTTTTTCTAAATTAATTTCATTAAATATTACAAAGTCATATATTGTATTCCTTTATCTACCATTATTGAGGTAATTTTTATTCTGAAAATTCGAACATTCATCTTTCAGGAAAGTTACAAGTATATGTTCGAAGTTCAATTAGGATGTCTTAAAATTATGTCATTTTAGGTAAATGTTTTCGAGCATTTTCACAAAAAGCAAGTGTTTATTTTATCTAATGTGAGTACTTCTGTTACCTTATATTTTGCATTATTCAAATTTTTGAGAAGTGGTTAATACAAATTTCTCCAAATTTTGTATTTGTTAATGAAAGAGTATTGTGGGATGTTTAGGTGGATTGATATAAATGTTTATGAGTGTGTTCTGAAGATAATCCAAGCGTTAGTGAAGATTCTTGATAAAAAGGAGAATAAGAATGACATGTTAAAACATGAAATTGAAAAAAAAAAAAAGAAAAGAAATTGTGTTGAGGAAATTTGTAGCAAGTCTAATTGGTAAATTTACCAAAAAAAAAAAAAAAAAAGAAAAAAAAAAGCTCAATCATGTGTACAAGCGCAAATTATGTTGTGGACTCGTGTTCACAATGCATTGTGGACACGAGTTCAAAAAGACGTCGTTTTAAGGTAATATGCAGCATTCCAGTTAAAATAAAAAATTGATTTTGTCTCGCCGTTAACGGCGTTATTCGTTTGTGGCATTATGAATGTACAGTTATGAAATTATGAATGTACAGTTATAGAATTATGAATATACAGTTATGGAATTATGAATGTACTGGAATTATGAATGTAAGTTATGGAATTATGAACACAGAGCTCTCACATTATGGACTTACAATTATGAAACATATAGTGATAAAATTATGAAAATAGAGCTCTAAAATTGTGAACATAGCGCTTCAAAATATGAATTTATAATTATTGAATTATGAATGTATAGTTACAGAATTATGAATGTATAGTTATGTAATTATGAATGTATAGTTATTGTATTATGAACACAGAGCTCTGATATTATGAACTTACAATTATGAACATATAGTAATAAAATTATAAACATATACTCCTATAACAAAGCGGTCTGAATTTTTTTTTTTTTTTAAAATAGTGGAAGATAACGATGCCACTAACAGCACCGTTATCGTGTCCACAATGCATGCTGGACACGCGTCCATAGCATAACGATTGGTGTACAAGGGCCTCCAAATAGACAATTCAATAATTAAATGGCACTACAAATATAATTATGGAACTGAGTTGTCCATTATATTACAATTAAGAGACAAAAATAATAACACCACGGTCATACCTGGGCTATGCTATCGACAACTGCAGAGCTCATATATCTACTTTTTCGTATTGCTCAATTATTTACATTCCTAGATTACAGAATTCATTAGCTCATACTCTAGCTTCTACAGCTTTCACGTTTGATACTGCTATGTACTGGGACAATGTCCCTCCAGACTCTATTTTACCACTTCTATAAATACAACCTCCAGGTTGACCTTCAAAAAAAAAAAAAAAAAAAAAGAGACAAAAATAATCATTTTCGCTATAACGTAATATTAAAAACTAATTGAATTGAGTCTTAATCCGTTTAGACTAGTCCACGAAAAAGTGAATTAGACCAAATTAATTCAAATTATATCGTGGACTAATATTCACCTTGCATGGCAGACCTAGATACATAAAAATAATATTGTGTGTATGTAAAAATAATACAGTAGGTACATAAAAATGAAACTAATAGTAGTGAATTTATATATACCTATAAATTTATTTTTGCAAATTGGGAGGAAAAAAAAAGAACGAAATTAGGTGAAACAACCTTCCAACCTGAGTGAGTCAACCAGGCACCCCCGACCTTAGCAAGAGTGTGAGCAACATGGTTGACACTCGTATGAATAAAACGAACATTACAACCAACTATGTTACTAATAAGACTATGACAATCATAGGCAATGGAACCAATGTACATTCGGTCCTCTTTAGAGTCTACTAGATTAGAAAAAAAAAAATCAAGAAATCCGTTTCAACTCGAACATTGATCATCCTAGCACCTCCTTCATCGCTAATGTTTCTGAACCACTGTGAAAAAGCTTCCCCAGAAACAATTGGCACAGCTAAGGAAGGAACCGCACAAACACGCTAAGCATATGAACATTCACACAAAGCTAAGCATGCATTGTGTCTTCCTCCCCTACTCAACATAAAGGACATTCTGATGGAATCTCTACCCTTCGCCTCCTTAGATTAACAGTAGTACACAAGATGTTCCTAAGAGCTCTCCAGATTAGGGATTTCAATTCTGCCGTCCTCAATGGGGATCCCAATCCTTGCCCCCACGAGGACGGCGATTGAAAATTTTTTTGAACGGAAGTGTGGATTGAGAATGTTTTCAATTTCCTGTGGGAGACGGAGACAGGAGTGGGGATACCCCTCCATGTTCCCAAAATTTTTTAAATATAATAATAATAATAATATGTATATATATATATATATATATATATATATATATATATATATATATATATATATATATATATATGTATGTATGTATGTATGTATGTATATGTATATTGCATAATAAGTGTTTGTTTTTATTGTTGTTTCAATGTTGGCCATATTAGCTCTTGGTAAGGGTTATATATGCACATAAGTTTTTATGTAATATGGCACATTGTTGTCCAATTATGGTTTTCTTCATATTTAATTTTATACTGATCATTCAAAACATTTATTACTTGTAGTTAAATTTTCTGATGTAATCTAGAGTGGTTGCTACACAATTTTTTCTAGTTGTTCATGAGGCAAGTATTCTAAACATATAGTTTTCATATACTTGTTTATATAGCACATAATTTTGGTGATCTTTTGATATTTTTACCAAGTGTACATTTTTACTCTTTAATGAGTCAATAGAATTAACCCTTTACTTTTGATCAAGCCCCAAACATACAAATGTTGTATTAAGATACATTGTAGACATCATGTCTCATCTCATAAAAAAAAGTGATGAAGTCTCACTAGATTTTCAGGTGAGGCTATCAAGAATGGACACTTGAAAATCTATTGAGACCTCATCTCTTTCTTCTATGAGCTGAGACATGATGACTATCATGTATCTTAGTACAGCATTGGTATGCTTGAGGCTTGACCAAAAATGAAGGGTCAATTCTAGACTCATTAAAGCGTACAAATGTACAATGTAGCAAAATATTATATTAGTTTGTAAACATCCATAGAAGGAAACTAACTTGGTGAAAACATCAAAATTATATGCTACGGAGTATATAATATGAACGACTGGGTAACTACCACTCTAGATTCAGAAAAGTTAACTATAATTAATAATAAGTGTTTTGAAAGATCTATAAAGGCCATGTTTGATAAAATATTTGCCTATCAGCCAATTTTGGCTTATTTGGCCACTATTAATTGTTTGGCTTGGTTAAAAAATTAACTCCAAAATGCTAAAATTCAAAAAGTTGCTCAAAACAGTTTTTTCAATTAACTTTTTGAGAAAAGAAATTATACCAAATAGCTATTAGCTAATAGCTAATTTACTAAACACCTCCCTACAATCAGCTGATGTTATCAACTAGTTATATCCTCTAATTAACCCAATCAGCTAACAGCAAACTGTTATTTACCAAACAGGACCAAAATTTGAAGAAAACTATAGTTGGACAACAATATGCCATAATTTATATATTTATTGATGAGCTGAGACATGATGTCTACCATGTATCTTAATACAGTATTGATATGCTTGAGGCATGACCAAAAGTGAATGCAACAATTTGTATATTTACCATAGGATTAAAATAATATAAATGTGATATCTCAAAAGGATTCATCTTTGAGACCTATAACCTTAAGTGTCAAATTTATAAAATTGCATTTGAAGTTCAAAAACAAAGCTGATAACAACGGATGGAAATTGTCAAATGTTGTAATCAATGGAACAAGTGATGCTTTCCATTTCAATAGGTACTAATGAAACAAGTGAAGCTTTCTATTTCAATGGGTACTAAGACAGTCATTACATTTACCCATCTTAAGTACTTGCCTTTTATCCAGGGGCCACCAAAACTCTGACTTTAGCCCTTACCAACTCTTTTCTGTAATCTTTAATAGTATGAAGCTTTTCAGAATCCTGAATATGAATAAAATCCATAAGTGTATACATTTGGTTATTTTGTCCAAAAGACAGTAATGACATATAAAACAAATAGGGTAAAATGCCATACTTAGATGGAAAATATCCCTGAAATGGCTATACTGAGAAGTTCACAAATTATAAATATTTTATTTACTTTATACAAAATGTCAAAAATAAGCAAAGTTTTAATGAAGACTAATTATGTATTATGCAATTTTCAGTAGCAAAATAATAATATTACGGAGTATTTAACATTTGTAGTTGATAAGAAAATTACAAGAAGTCACATCTTAGAAATGTAAGAAACCCGCATTTCATAAACATGACTTGTGGAAAAAAAATTTATATTTTCAGTGAAAAGTTTCACTTTATAAATGCCAAGTTCTTCCAAAGTCATAAAGAAAACTGGATTTAGATGAAAAGCTTTACTTCTTATCTCCTTTGAAATGCATCAGACATTCTCCCTATCACCTGTCACCAACGTGATTGCCTCCGTAAAGACTTCATATAGAGGGATTTCAGGAAATTGAGCAGAAGTGTAAAAGGAAAGGGTTAAAAGCTGAATTCTCTATATACGGATTTTGGTAGGACAAATATAGTAAAGTCTTCCTAAAGATACATTAGAGAAATGAAGTGTTAATGAATTCTCATTTCCAAAATGTGTGGCTTCAGACATTTTTTTTTTCTTTCTATTAATAATCTAAAAAGAATTACTCTCCATCCCATTTGTGCCCCATTTACAATTCTCAGAGTCAATTTAACATTTTAACCAAGCTTATGTTTTTTATACCAATAAATTGAATTTTGAAAATAAAAAACTATATTCAATTAACTACATAAGAAATTGTACTTGCCTCATTTTAAAGTATTCTGCTCTATTGGACATAAGAGATTATCACTGTTTAAAACAGTAAAGGGAAGAGGTAGAAATGATATTTTATTTCATGTTTCATATTCTTGGTTCTCCATATTACAACCATATATATATAGGCATAAAGAAAGCTTTTGAAAGGGCATAATAAATGCTAAAAATTACTCCTCTTCTCAAGGCTACAACTTCCTAGAGTAGAGTAAATATGGTTGCCTATTTCCAACACTCCCCCTCAAGTTTCAAGAAAGGGGGACTAGGGGAGTATTGCCATCAAGGCATCAACAACCATCCATGTTTTGTTCTTTCATCGCTATGGGCTTCTCTTTATCGCTTTGGCTATCTTCATTGCTATGGATCATAATTCATATGCACCCATTTGTTGTTCCTGTTCCATTTCACCTTTACTACTCTTGATGAAGGTTTTTTGACATTTGTTCTAGAGTGTTTGTGTCACTGTGTTATCTGGATGTTGTTCATGTTCGAATCCATCCTTGAATCTTTCATCTTCATTCCCAAGGGTTGTATAGTTTATGTGTATAGCACTATAGCACTATTATCCTCTAGCCGAATTTAATCTTCATTTGTAATTTTGAGTTTGGTGGAATGTTTGTTTTAATTCAAGCATTGAACTTCTAGATGTTCCAGTTTGAGAGGAATGTTGAATAATAGGAAACCTTAGTCCTATTACTATTAAGAGTGGGCTTGATTTCCTATTCCAAGGAGGAGTGGTTTAACCCAATGTTCCCATAGTTCAAGAAACGCAAAGAGACAATCTATTATTATTAACATAATCATATATTCTCTCTTTCTTTGTTTTCTCACATATTTTGCATCTGCTTAGTCACACCCACTAGGCTTTTCAATCCCTCAAAATCAACACACTAGTTGGAAAGTGCAATAATATAGTATTAACCTTATGTAGTGTTTTTGGGTACACTTATGGTGGATAGGATTTACTGCTGAGATACCCCAAGTTTAACATATGTCTAGGGATGCACTGGTTGCGAGAAGGAGAATATGATACTAAGTTTCTAATTTTTTATTTTCTTGGGGTACATTAATTGAGGAAAGGATTTACCAGTAAGATATCCTATACCACTAATAGGGTAATTATTCTTTCCAAAAGGTTGAATCCCCAACCCCAATGGTCCCGCACACCCTGGCCCGACAGAGCATTTGGAAGGATGTAAATCATGGTAACTCAGCTGAATATAGAGGCTAGACCTTTGTTTATTGCGCACAAGGAGCCCCCTCACTTAGAGAGATAGAAGAGAAAGAGGTAGAAGGAAACTTGGACAGAATTTATTTTTAAAAAGAAAAAGAAAGAAAGAAGATATGCTAGCTCAAATTTTCAAAATTTTAAGTTTTAATAGAATTCAATAAAGACATGCAAACTGAAGTTGAAATGCTTAGCAAACTGAACAAATAGAATCACAATCCATCAGGTTTCAGGTCATTGTTGTTGGAGTGGCATCCAGTAGTGGTACCTGAGGAAGTTGAAGCGCAGATGGTCCTTCTACAGATGGTACAGAACCAGCATTTTCCACCTGATCATTCATGAAAAATTAGACTGTTATCCATTAGAAGAAAACCCCCTCCCACAAACACACAGAGAAAGAATAATATTCATCATAAAACAAGCAGATGCCCACGACTTATGCACACTACTCAAATCTAGACAGAGTATACTTCTTTAAGGACAAATGCTTCTATGATTTTAAAATTATTGCATCTATTACTACCAAACCTTCGGCTGACTGCAGATAATAGATAACAAAGTTTTGAAGCTTGAGAACATCAACTCAACTAAACTCAACCAATCCTAACCTAGTTAAGTTCAGTTATATGGATTCTATTTTTCCATTTCATTCTCATTAATGCTACATCAGTCATAACTTCTTGCAATAGTACGTCTTTCTTAATGTCTACTCCCTTCACCTAACTTCTACAACTTCCAACTGCTCATTCTATCCATGGTCGAGCATATGCATGCTGAATACGCCCAAATTATCTTAATCTATAAACATCTTCAAAGGAAACACCACAGGAGGAAGTCAGCAAGCTTTATGAAAAATACACAAACACATAGATACCGTGTTTTATCCCTCAGGAACTTCATGCAATATTGAGCCAAGTACTTTGCAATAATCATCCAAATTCATGTTCATATTTGTCATTAATTCTAAAAGACAAGGCTTCAGTCTGGCAGCACACTTTTCCAAGACTTCTTTTCCCAATAGCGTTGAACAAGGTGCAGTAGCCTATAAAAACATACCTAGTTAATCAAATAATTGAAAACAATGCTTGGAGATAGCATCAATATTTGCATAGTGATTATTACCAGAGTTTCCTTTCTGAGGCTATCAAGAATGGACACTTGAAAATCTAGTGAGACTTCATCTCTTTCTTCTATGAGCTGAGACATGATGTCTACCATATATCTTAATACAGCATTGCTATGCTTGTGGCTTGATAAAAAGTGAAGGGTCAATTCTATAGACTTATAAAGAGTACAAATGTACAATGTAGCAAAATATTATACTATAGTGTGTAAGCTTCCAAGGAAACTGACTTGGTGAAAATATCAAAATTATATGCTATATGATATGAACAACTAGAAAATACCTGATGATTTTGAGAAACAGTTGGAAAACGTTAACAGCTAACACATAGTCAAAATCCAATAGCATCACACACAACCTGTACTTAGCAACGGCTTCAAGAACTCTCAGTGCCTTACTATAGTAGTTGCTATCAATGTAATATAACTTTTCAAGCGATGCTATAATCTGATGGAAAACGACCTGAGAATCAAAAGATGATACTTTTTAAACATAGATGCACATATATGATACAGTATATGTTAGAATGCTCAGGTAGAAAGAAATAATAAATAAATACTGAAATTGTTTGCAACCTGGCCTAAGTTTTGAACAAATAAAGTATTAAATACCTCCATTTCTATATTATCATAGGGTAGAACGGGTGCAGATATTCTCATAATTTCACAGATACAAGATGCAACAGAAACCTCAATGATTTTATCAGAATGTCTCAGAAGCTTCCTTTCAATCAGTGCTTTTTTAATTGGTTCAAGTGCATTTAACGTCGACACTGGAGAGTCTTTCCCTATGCTCTTCAGTTCTGATTCAACTTTCTAAAAGAAATGCAACACAACAGAAGAGTTAAAACAACACTAGTAAACAAATAATGTCCAGGCAATTTGATAATTTATCAAAATAAATTGAGGACTATAGTTTTGTGTGTTTGTGTAATTCAAACATGTCAGTTCCTAAAATCACATATGAATAAACTCGAAAGCATAAACATTTCTAAATAAAACGTAGACAGAATAACAACATAAGAATTGATCCTTTCAGCCAAAAATAAAAGAAGGAAAAGAGACCCTAAAATTTTATAATCATTTGACTGGTGAAGACATCCCATCAATGAAAACCAATCCAAGCATAATTGAACCTTTATATGCAAAAGAAAAGGGAAAGAATTTTACTTCAAGGAGGCTGAGAAGCTCGGCAGTGGATGAAGGAGGTGTAGAGAGCTGAATTCCAGACTGAATGAGCATTTCCTCAAGCTCCTTTTGTGAAGGAAGAGGTGCAGCAGAGGCCATCATTCTCAGTGAACAGAGCCCTCCCCTTAATCAAGAGTTCAAGACTGAAAGCCCTAGAACTAGAGAACCCAAATTAATTGTACTTCACTCGAAAAGAGGACCCCTAGACACCCAAAATACAGCAAATGTAAATCCGGATAAAGAAATGCTGAATTGGAGTTGACAGAGAACGATCAGTTTATATGCGGATTTATGCGCGGTTGTACAATGCTGAGTTTGTAATTCTGTCTGGATTCTTCTGCTATTAATTCCATTCCATACCAAACAAATTCCATATGCGCTTTTAAGTCGCGCTCTGAAGAATCAACTGCCAAAGATCGGTTTTGTATTTTTGTATTTTGAGGAGAAAGGCGGTGGAGATGGCCTTGATGAGCCATGCATTGAAAAAAATCCTCACCTTTGGGTTCACAGTATCTTTGCTCTCCTCATATTCTTATTTGATCTCCATTTGCTGTGCTTCCTAATAAGCTCTTCAGTTTCTAGTAACCTGCTCTAGCTAGCCCAATGGATTCCTCTATTTGTTCTACCTCCCCCATCCCACCAATATGAATTTAAGATGACTTCAATTTCATGTAAAAGGTTCTTTGGTAGAAGAAATATAATTGGTATATCGTGCACCAGGGCGCACAATGCACAATACATTGTGCACCTTAACAAACCCTTGTTTAGTATGTACATAATTGTATAGTAAAATACACATAAACTTCTAACATAATACACATAAACTCTTAACATAATACACATAAACTTTTAAGATGCACCTTGGTGCATGGTATAATTTGCCGAAGAACAATTGTTATGCTGTGCATGGTGCACACGGTTGCAAACGACGTCGTTTCACTATTGTGGAGTAACGCTGCCGTTATTAACACCGTTTAACTCCACCAATCATTTTTTTTTATTACACATCCATAACTTCATAAATATACATTCAGAATTGTATAACTACACATTCATAACTTCATAACTATACATTCAGAATTGCATAACTACACATCCATTAACTTCATAACTATACATTCAGAATTGTATAACTTCATAACTATACATTCAGAATTGCATAACTACACATCCATAACTTCATAACTATACATTCAGAATGTGAAATTATAAAATTACGAACATATATTTAGGTAACTAACGGTAATTGAAAATGATTTTTTTTAAAAAGTAAAACGACGCCGTCCTCATCTCCCTTCCTCTTCCTCTTTACTCCATCAGAAAGCAAAGTCAGTCAGTTACACGCCCCTGTAAATTGCATCCATGTTATGTTACAAAGAGGCAGTTGGCTAACCAATAAAATCATAGCTTCTTAACTAGATAATATACAATGTGGGAATTTAACTCACTTCTTTGACTGGAACCTCTTCAAGCAATTCCCAGCGTTCACATCTGAGATTCAAGATTTCTACATCATCATCAGTGTATATGACCTACAACAGTACAGTAACAGAAAGCAACTTAGCACATTAAAATTTAAGGAAGATACGAGATAAAGCCAATACATCATGATACAGATGTTTAAAATCTTTCCATGAATGTGATGAAGAATCAATGCATGCTCTGCTTGCTCTCTTGAAATAGAGGAAACAAAGACATGATTCCACCACATTTTTAATGTGCTTTAAGGCTTTAAACTATAATTATAGACCTTTGGGGCTTTTCCCTAGCTCTTGTTAATCTAGGTACAAGAAGGCTATGCCCTCTACTTAAAACCTACTCTCCTGGGCTTGGCTTTGTGTAGTTCAACATTTGGCCTCTAAGTAAAAAGATTAGTGCGTTATTGACAAACAAATACAGGAGAAATATCTCGAAATGGATTGGGCAGAAATTAGAATAATGGGAATTGGTTTATAATTGTCAACATAATGGATCATGAGTAGTCAAGATGCGTCAAACTCAGCCTAAATATCACTATCCTAGAAAAGCAAATTGTTAGGGAAGAGCATTTGCCCTTTATCTTGGAAAATCCTATTTTTGAAGATAGAAAATAGTATATCCAAAGGGCAATTATATGCAACACATAAAATACAGAAATATCTGCTCGTTGGGCTTATGTACCTTGTGTTTTTCCGTCTTAGGGTTAAAAGAAGAAATCACCCCCTCATAAAACCTGTAAAGAGAAAAGAACAGAAAATATGACAAGAATTGCTTGCATAATTTACAAGACAACTTAATAGCACTTCTTAGACTTTTCTTAGACTTTTTTTTTTTTTGAATGTTACTGACTCTATTACAATGTAGTATGTGTTCATAGCTACTTTTTCGAGCCAACATCGCCTCCACTGAGGCTCCAACCCACAACCTCCCATATAAGGGAGCAACTTGGTGCCATTGGACCACAAGGTCCTTGGCAACGCTTCTTAGACTTAAAAAAGCAAATTTAAAAATACATATTAAAAGAATAAATCAAAAGTGCATAAGCTACATGTTTACAAATTAAATGCAACAATTTGTATATATTTACCATAGGATTCAAATAATGTAAATGCAATATCTCAAAACGATTCATCTTTCAGACCTATAACCTTAGGGGTCAAATTTATAAAATTGAATTTGAAGTTCAAAAACACAAGCTGTTAACAACTGAGGGAAATTGTAAAATGTTGTAATCAATGGAACAAGTGATGCTTTCCATCTCAATAGGTAATAATGGAACAAGTGAAGCGTTCTATTTCAATGGGTACTAAGACCGTCATTCAATTTGCCCTTCTTAAGTACTTACCTTCTATCCCGGGGCCACCAGACTTTGACTTTAGCCCCTACCAACTCTTTTCCGTAATCTTTAATAGTATGAAGCTTTTTAGAATCCTAAATATGAATAAAAACCATAAGTGTACCCATTTGGTTATTTTGCCCAAAAGAGAGTAATGACATATAAAACAAATAGGGTAAAATGTCATAGTTAGATGCAAAATATCAATGAAATGGCTATACTGGGAAGTTCATAAATTATACATATTTTATTTAATTTATACAAAATGTCAAAAATAAGCAAATTTTAAAAGATGTCGCATCTTAGAAATGTAATCTTAAGAAAACTGCATTTCATAAATATGACTTGTGGGGGAAAAAAAAAAAAACATATATTTTCAGTGAAAAAGTTTCACTTGATAAATGCCAAGTTCTTGCATAGTCATAAAGGAAGTTGGATTTAGATGAAAAGCTTTACTTCTTATCTCCTATGAAATGCATCAGACATTCTCCCTAATCCTCACGTGTCACAAACATGATTGCCTCCGTAAAGACTTCATATAGAAAGATTTCAGGCAATTGAGCATAAGTGTTTAAAAATTGGGTTAAAAGCCACATTCTCTAATGCGGATTTTGATAGGATGAATATAGTAAAGTCTTCCAAAAGACACATTAGAGAAATGAAGCTTTAAGAATTCTCATTTCCAAAATGTGTCTCCGGACATTTTTTTTTCTTTCTATTAGTAATCCAAAATGAATTACTCACCATCCCATTTGTGCCCCTTTTACAATTCTCTCAGCCAATTTAACCAAGCTTATGTTTTTATACTAATAAATTGAATTTTGAAAATAAAAATTTATATTCTGGAGTAATAACTAATAAGTATATATTCAATCAAATACATAAGAAATGGTACTTGCCTAATTTTTAAAGAATTATGCTATATTGGAACATAAGAAATGATCATATTAAAAACAACTTTTTTTTAAACAAAGTAGAATGTGACCCTTCTCAAGGCGGACAAAGAGAATCAACTAATATTGTTTCAATAAGTTCAACACACATCTAGGGTTGCACTCATCGGAAAGTGCAATAATATGGTATAATCTTTTATGCATCCATTTTGGGTACACTTGTGGTGGATAGGATTTACCGTTGAGTTACCTCAAGTTCAACATATGTCTAGGAGTCACTGGTTGCAAGAAGGATAACATGATACTAAGTTTTTAATTTTTTATTTTTTTGGGTACATCAATGGGGCCACGGGGGACAGTGTTTACCAGTAAGAAATTCTAAACCTCTAATATGGTACTAATTAAATCCCAAATTTTCACTGCAAATTGTAAGTTATAATAAAGTTCAAGAGCAAATTTCACTTTTGATCATATGACTATTGGGGTGTTGTCAATTTGAGTCCACAACTTTCAAAACTAATAATTTAATACCCTAAATTTTCAATTTTTATCAATTTTAGTCATCCCCGTCAAATTGTCGGCCAATTGTCGCCGAAATCTTTTAATTCAGTGTTAAAATGAAAGATAATTTGTAAACCATTGTTTGAATTAATATAGAGGCAGGTGAGATGTGGATAAAAATTGGCAATAATTGGCTAGCAATTTGGCCGTACTGACGAAAATTGATAAAAATTTAAATAGTTAGGGTACTAAATTGCTAGTTTTGAAAGTTGTGGACTAAAATTGACAACACCCCAATAATTATAGGACCATAATGAAATGCAATCAATTCAATACGGGTTAAGGCAAAGTTGAGTTTGTTGCGATAGCCCTTCACGGTGACGTCGTCCTGACTTCTGAGTAAGATTGTGGTGTTAGTTTTTCAAACAACAGCCAGAGATGCATCGGGACAAGAACGGTTTGTTGGTGAAAGGAGTCTAGTTTGTTACCGTGTGAAGAAAGATACTTGGATTTGATAGATACAAATGGTTGGTACAACAGAGTATATATACAAGTAAGAAACCTAAACTCAAAAAATATGACTCTTCATATAAAACATTACAATGGTACCATTCCTTTGTTTAAAGCTTGCTTCCTCAAGTGTTTAGTTCTTGTTCTTATATAATGGTGATGATTTCGTTGAACAGATGACTTCTCTGCAAGTCTGCATCATTGGCTATTTCTTTTTCCTTCTTTATACGTACAGTCAAACTAGGAGATGCCTCACTCTTGCATGAACTCCTCCCACGATTTCCCTTGGAAAGCCTAGTTGCTTCAAAACTCTTTCTCATAGTGAGATATGTGAAATCAACTTTTCCAACTGTCTTGCATAGGTTCTTGTTCTAAGAATCGCCAATGGTGTTCCATTGTCCCTTTTTCGCTAAATTTTGGTCTTTTATGAAATTTAAAGGATTTTTGGATCCGTTGTCAAGTTTCTTTCCTGAGGGTGTTCAATTTTGGTATTACCGTATTTGCTTCTTCATTTTCAGTGTGCCTTATTTGTTCCCTGAGGGTGTTTAATTTCGGCACTATAATATTTTATGTCCAAAGGCCATTTATTATTTCTCAAGTTTCAAGAAAGGGGGGGTAGGGGAGTATTACCATGAACCACGCATGTTTTGTTCTTTTATTGCTATGGGGCTTCTCTTTATCGCTTTGGCTATGTTCATTGCTATGGACCATATGTTTTGTTCTTTCATTGCTATGGGGCTTCTCTTTATCGCTTTCGCTATCTTCATTGCTATGGACCATATGTACCAATTTATTGCTCCTGCTCCATTTCACCTCTACTTCTCTTGATGAAGGCTTTTTTACATTTGCTCAAGAGTGTTTGTGTCACTTTGTTACCTTGAGCTTGTTCATGTTCAAATCCATCCTTGACACTTTCAACTTCATTTCCAAGGGTTGTGTATAGTGATATGTCTTCCGACGACATTCAACACTATTATCCTCTAGCGGCATTTCATCTTCATTTGTAATTTTGAGTTAGGTGGAGTGTTTGTTTTAATTCAAGCGTGGAACTTCAAGATATTCCAGCTTGAGGGGAGTGTTGAATAATAGGAAGCCTTAGTCCTATTCCTATTAGGAGTAATCTTGATTTCCTATTCAAGGTAGGAGTGGTTTAACCCAATGTTTCTATAAATATAGAATCTCTATACACTCTATACCGTTCAAGAAACATAGAGAGACAATCTATTATTATTATTAACATAATCATATATTCTCTCTATTCCAAGTATTCTCACATATTTTGCTTCCGCTTAGTCACCACCCACTAGGCTTTTCAATCCCTCACAATCAACACACTCGTTGGAAAGTGCAATAATATAGTATTACCTTTTATGCATTCTTTTTTGGTACACTTACGGTGGAGAGGATTTACTGTTGAGATACCCCAAGTTCAACATATGTCTAGGGGTGCACTGGTTGCAAGAAGGAGAATATGATACTAAGTTCCTAATTTTTTTATTTTCTTGGAATACATTAAATAGAGGAAAGAATTTAGCAGTAAGATATCCTAAACCACTAATATGGTACTAATTAGAGATAGAAGAGAAAGAGGCAGATGGAAATTTAAGTTTTAATAGAACTCAATAAAGAGATGCAAACCAATTAGTTATGGGTTAAGGCAATGCAGAAATATAATGATTAGCAAACTGAATAGTTAGAATCACAAAGATTACTCTACCCAGAAATCAAGAGAATCTGCAAGCACCATTACAGTAGTACCTTTTCTTTAAGTTTTCTCTGGGCAGACCTAGTCCCTTCATATCTCTTTTGCACGGTGAGATCTGTCTGATTCTTCTTTCGTTGGCCCCTTTTGCAAGGACTTTTTGTGCTGCTGGGGGCTAACACATCAGGCTTAGTCACAGACTCCTTTCCAGTTATAGCTGGCAAAGCTAACACATTTGAAGTTGCATTAATGTCCAATGAACTCCAAGATTTCTTCTCTTGTTCCTTCTTGATAGTAGGTTCTTCATCAGAGCGTTTGCTTTCATTCATCCCAAAAGATGCCCTCAATGACCCATCAAGTTCTAGGTTATTGTTATTGTTATTCATTGTTTGAGTGGCATCCAGTAGTGGTACCTGAGGAAGTTGAAGAGCAGATGTTCCTTCTACAGGTGGTACAGAACCAGCATTTTCCACCTGATCATTCACGAAAAAATGAAAAATTAGATTGTTATCCATTAGAAGGAAACCCCCTCCTCCCACAAACACGGAAGAATATCATATTCATCATATCTCAATGTAGAATGGCAAGTGACAGCATAAAACAAGCAGATCAGATGCCCATGACTTAAATCTAGACAGTATTAAAGACTTCTTCTTTAAGGATAAATGGTTCTATGATTTTAAAATTAAGGGAAAATTGCATTTTTGGTCCTCCAGTTATACTTGTGGTACAGACATAGTCCCTGAGTTATATGCGTGGCCATCTTTAACCCCTAAGTGATGCATAGAGTGGCAATTTGAGTCCTTGAAGGACCAAATCAGCCACTTTAGTAAGTGACAGATTGGTGGTAGAAAGTCCCTGAGGGACTAAAATCGCCACTTCGTGCATAACTTAGAGGTTAAAGATGGTCACGCATATAACTCAGAGACTAAGTTTGTACCATTTTTATAACTGAAGGACCAAAATTGCAATTTTCCCTAAAATTAATGCATCTCTTGACTACCAAACTTTACGCTGACAGCAGATAATAGATAACAAAGTTTTGAAGCTTGAGGGCATAACCTCAACCCAACTCAACCAATCCTAGCCTAGTTAAATTCAGTTATATGGATTCTGTTTCTCCATTTCATTCTCATTAATGCTACATGCCTACATCAGCTTCTTGCAATAGTACGTCTTTCTTAATGTCTACTCCCTTCACCTAGCCTCTAGCCTTCTACAGATTCCAACTGCTCATTCTATCCAAGAGCATACGCTGAACACACCCAAATTATCTTAATCTATAAACATATCTTCTGATCTTCAAAGAAATACAACAGTAGAAAGACAACAAGTTTAATGAAAAATACGCAAACACATAGATACCATGTTTTCTCCCTCAGGAACTTCATGCAATATTGAGCCAAGTACTTTAGAATAATCATCCAAATTCATGTTCATATTTGTCATTAATTCTAAAAGACAAGGCTTCAATTTGGCAGCACACTTTTCCAAGACTTCGCTTCCCAATATCGTTGAACAAGGTGCGGTAGCCTAGATAAAAACATACCTAGTTAATCAAAAAATTGAAAACAATGTTTCGAGATAGCATCAATATTTGCATAGTGATTATTACCAGAGTTTCCTTTCTGAGACTATCAAGAATGGAAACTTGAAAATCTAGTGAAACTTCATCTCTTTCTTCTATGAGCTGAGACATAATGTCTACCATGTATCTTAACACAGCATTGGTATGGTTGAAGCTTGATAAAAAGTGAAGGGTCAATTCTATAGACTCATTAAAGAGTACAAATGTACAATGTAGCAGAATATTATACTATAGTGTGTAACGCTATATGATATGAACAACTAGAAAATACCTGATGATTTTGAGAAACAGTTGGAAAACGTTAACAGCTAACACATAGTCAAAATCCAATAGCATCACACACAACCTGTACTTCGCAACCGCTTCAAGAACTCTCAGAGCCTTACTATAGTAGTTACTATCAATGAAATATAACTTTTCAAGGGATGCTATAATCTGATGGAAAACGACCTGAGAACCAAAAGATGATATTTTTTAAACATAGATGCACATATATGATATATGTTAGACTGCTCAAGTAGAAAGAAATAATAAATAAATAAATACTAAAATTGTTTGCAACCTGGCCTTAGTTTTGAACATATAAAAAGTATTAAATACCTCCATTTCTGTATTATCATAGGGTAGAACGGGTGCAGATATTCTCATAATTTCACAGATACAAGATGCAACAGAAACCTCAATGATTTTTTCAGAATGTCTCAGAAGTTTCGTTTCAATCAACGCTTTTTTAATTGGCTCAAGTAGATTTCTCGTCGACATTGAAGGGTCTTGCCCTATGCTCTTCAGTTCTGATTCAACTTTCTAAAAGAAAATGCAATGCAACACAAGAGTTAAAACAACAGTAGCAAACATATAATGTCCAGATGAGGACTATAGTTTTGAGTATGTGTGTGTGTAATTCAACATGTCAGTTCCTAAAAACGTATATGAATAAACTAGAGATGAAAGCATAAACATTTCTAAATAAAACGTAGACAGAACAACAACAACATAAGAATTGATCCTTTCAGCCAGGAAAAGAGACCCTAAAATTTTATAATCATTTGCCTGGTGAACAAATCCCATCAATGAAAACCAATCCAAGCATAATTGAACCTTTATATGCAAAAGAAAAGGGAAAGAATTTTACTTCAAGGAGGCTGAGAAGCTCGCCAGTGGATGGAGGAGGTGTAGAGAGCTCAATTCCAGACTCAATGAGCATCTCCTCAAGCTCCTTTTGTGATGGAAGAGGTGCAGCAGCAGCAGGAGAAGCCATCATTCTCAGCAAACAGAGTTCTCCCCTCAATCAAGACTGAAAACCCTAGAACTAAAGAACCCAAATTGTACTTCACTCGAAAAGAGGACCCACAGACACCCAATCCAGCAAATGTAAATCCGGATAAAGAAATTCTGAATTGGAGTTGACAAAGCGGATAAAGAAATGCTGAATTGGAGTTGACAAAGCCGATAAAGAAATTCTGAATTGGAGTTGACAAAGCGGATAAAGAAATGCTGAATTGGAGTTGATAAAGAACGTAACGAACGGTTTGTGTGTGATTCCTGCTCATTTTTGCGTGGTTGTACAATGTTGAGTTTGGAATCCGTGTAATCCTGCCTGGATTCTTCTGCTTTTTGCGTGATTAATTCCATTCCATACCAAACAAAATCCATATGCACTTCTAAGTCGCGCTCTCAAGAATCAACTGCCAATTGTCGCCAAAGCTCTTCAGAGGATTTTTGAGTTTTTGTTTTGGAGGCGAAGGGCCTTGGAGATGGCCTTGAATGTCTATGATAAAATATAGTGAAAATTACACTTTTCCCCTTGAATTACTCATACGATCATAATTGTTCTCTCAATTTTTTTAAAATTTGACATTTTTTGTTCAATTTTAAATATGTTTTTGGATTATCTATACTATCTATACTATATATATATATATATATAAACAAAATACTTAAATTTTAAATTCCCGCCCAATTCCTAAAAAATCTTTCTTCCGTTTAAAATATATTGATTTCTACTTTCTCATTCGTACAATAATTCTGGGTTAAAGTTGTGAAGCGTCATAAGTTCGGCAAGGCATAACTTTTGACTCGGTTGTCCGTTTTGGACAAATGTTTTTTTGAAATCGCGTATTTTTTCGAGATCTATCCACCGCAAACTGCCGTAGGCGGTGTGGACCACCAATTTCTAAAAAAAATGCTTTGTTAAATAGTTTCTAAGAAAAAACTATGAGAACCTTATGTTTTATTAATGAATTTTTAAATTTTTTAATTAGAAAATTGTCCCGTGCATTATTTAATAATCTCTCTTTATAATTGGTCAAATTATTTAATTATGGTAAATTAGGAAATAATTAATGATGGTAATAGAAATCCTAAAAGAATATAGAATTGAAGAATATTTAATTATTGTTATATTTTTATTGTGACTCACGGAATACAATACAAGAATATTTAATTATGGTTATATTATTATTGTGTGCCTCACGGTCATTATATACTAACAAAACTTGAAAAGAAACTATTAATAATAATTATAATATAATAATAATATAAGTGGTAAAAATATTATCTAAAAGTAATTAAGTGTTAATAATAATAGTAAGAATATTAACGTAAGAATTATAACATAGAATAAATTGTAATAATTAATAACTACAGTCTAGGATTAAATTTGGAATTGTCATGAAAGATAAGCGACCTCTGGTGAAATTAACTCTTAAATAATTATATATCGATTTAAATATTCTTAATATATTACAACAATTCCATTTCGTGCATCGCACGGGTAAAAATACTAGTTAAAAATAATAGTAAAATAAGTAAAAAAACACTATTTACAGTTAATTATAATTATAATTTTAAATTATGTTAGTAACAAAATTAATACTTAAATACAAATTTAGTAATAATAAATTATATGTGTTTAAGTCTTTATTCTGTAGCTAGCATTATGTTAAAATTATAATTACATAGTATAATATGTGTAAATGGTGCTTGTTTTTGCATTTATTTTGATTCTCATATATAAGCCAATTTTCATCTTGGGAGGAACATTACTTTTTCATATTGAGACCCAATCTTTCTTGTTATCAATATTCTGCTCACCCACAAGAGCCTTGTAACAACTTTTAACTATAAAGTGACATCAGCCTTCCCTCATCCAAATTAGTTTATCATCTCTTTTGAACATGGGCATGGGAATGTTTGTGATGAGAGTGGCGTCACGATGGATAAATATATTCCGAATTATGTCCACGTCCGAACTTTGATCTTGTTTGTTGAGGAGGGAGGAAACAACAACATTTTCCAGAAAGGAAAAGGTGGCCTGGTGGTCTGTGGATTTGAGGGATCACGAAGTCATGTGTCTCTCCAAATATTAATGGAGTTACCATTATCAATCCTCCAACAGTTATGATTTCTGACACCCAAACCAGCAAATGTAAATCCGGATAAAGAAATTCTGAATTGGAGTTGACAAAGCGGATAAAGAAATGCTGAATTGGAGTTGACAAAGCCGATAAAGAAATTCTGAATTGGAGTTGACAAAGCGGATAAAGAAATGCTGAATTGGAGTTGATAAAGAACGTAACGAACGGTTTGTGTGTGGATTCCTGCTCATTTTTGCGTGGTTGTACAATGTTGAGTTTGGAATCCGTGTAATCCTGCCTGGATTCTTCTGCTTTTTGCGTGATTAATTCCATTCCATACCAAACAAAATCCATATGCGCTTCTAAGTCGCGCTCTCAAGAATCAACTGCCAATTGTCGCCAAAGCTCTTCAGAGGGTTTTTGAATTTTTGTCTTTAATTGGAGGCGAAGGGCCTTGGAGATGGCCTTGAATGTCTCTATAAAATATAGGAAAAATTACACTTTTCCCCCTTGTTATAGTATTTTTCCTTTTGAATTATTCATACATTCATATTTGTTCTCTCAATTTTTTAAAAATTGACATTTTTTGTTCAATTTTAAATATGTTTTTTGATTATTAAAAATAATAGTAAAATAAGTAAAAAAAACTATTTACAAATATTATAATTATAATTTTAAATTATGTTAGTAACAAAATCAATACTTGAATACAAATTTAGTAATAATAAATTATATGTGTTTAAGTCTTAATTCTGTTGCTAGCATTATGTTAAAATTATAATTACAGAGTATAATATGTGTAAATGGTGCTTGTTTTTGCATTTATTTTGATTCTCATATACTTTTTCGTATTGAGACCCAATCTTTCTTGTTATCAATATTCTGCTCACCCACAAGAGCCTTGTAACAACGTTTAACTGTAAAGTGACCTCAGTCTTCCCTCATCCAAATTAGTTTATCATCTCTTTTGAACATGGACATGGGAATGTTTGTGATGAGAGTGACGTCACGATGGTTAAATATATATTTTGAATTGTGTCCATGTCCGAACTTTGATCTAATTGGTTGTTGAGGAGAGAGGAAACAACAACATTTTCCAGAAAGGGAAAGGTGGCGGTGGTGATCTGTGGATTTGAGGGATCACGAAGTCATATGTCTCTCCAAATATTAATGCAGTTACCATTACCCATCCTCCAATAGTTATGATTTCTAATGATCTCCTTGGTGGTTAAGAGATTGTTCCAAATAAAGGATGGATTGCTGCTACTTCTAACATCTAAGAATGAGGAGCCTGGGTAGTATTTTGCTTGGAAGACTCTTGCAACAAGGGACAAGGGGAATTGAATGAGTCTCCAAGCTTGCTTGCATAACAGTGCAGCGTTAAAGAGGTCCAATTTCCGAAAGCTAATACCACCCCAATCTTTGGGAATACAAAGGTGTGACCAAGATTTCCATTGAATATCGTTACGGTTGCAATATTTGCTCCCCACCAAAAAGCATTCATAGCACATTCAATCTCTCTCACATTTTCTTTTGGTATTTGAAATACACTCATAGCATAGGAAGGTAGTGCTTGTATCTAGGGCTGGGCACTTTGGTCTTTGGTTCATTTTTTTTTCTTTTTTTGTTTCGGTTTCGGTTTCGGTTTTTTTGGTTTTAGAAAAGTTGAACCATTCGGTTTAACATTATAGTTCGGTTCGGCTTCAGTTCGGTTTCAATCGGTTTGGTTTTGGTTCGGACTTCGATTCGGTTTAAGACTTTACGAGAATTACGATCATCAAATTTCAACATTTCATAATTTTCCAAACATACTACCAAACAATACCTATTCACATAATCCACATCTAAAATATAAACGTTATATAACACAATAATAATTCAAAGTTTAAACATACTAATAAATAGTAAATACTAACATCAAATACTAATATCAATCTAATTACCAAAACATCACATACTTAGAAATTAGAATCCAAAGTTCAAAGTTCAAACATTACAAACATGAATCACGTAGTTCAAACTTCAAATCTAATGTTTAAAGAGTACAAACATGAAACATCAAATAAAAACATTCAGTTGGAATATTTTTATTGATATGATGAATAATCATCTATCTGTATAGTTGATATTAAAAGAACAAGTGTCAATTACTATATAGTTAATTTTTGGACACAATCTGTCATTGCTAGTGCACTCAAAATATATTCCAGTACTAGAAAATAATTATAATGCACTGGAAATCAAAATTAGAATGACGGTAAAGCACATTAAATTTAAAGAAAAACATGAAACTAAGGAAAATACTGAATATTGTAAATATAACTCAAGTTAGATATAATTGTGAGGTAAAGAACAATTGCGACAAACAACAAAAGTGCAATGTAGAAAACAAGCTATAAAGAAATCAAATAAAAAATTTAAGGCTCGGTACCAGTAAGAATGAGAACTAAACGACGGAGCAAGCATCAAGGAACTTGGATTTACTTCTTTTTATTATTATTATTATTATTATTATTATTATTATTATTATTATTAATTTATTATTATTATTATTATTATTAATAATTAACTAATTTATTATTATTATTATTATTATTATTATTATTATTATTATTATTATTTATTAAAAAAAATTATATAGCGTTCGGTTCGGTTTTTGCCAAACCATTCGGTTTCGGTTCGGTTTGGTAATAAATCATTCGGGTTACAAAATCCCGAACCATTCAGTTTTCTATTACTAGTTCGGTTCGGATAAACAGAACCGAAGTGCCCACCCCTACTTGTATCACACTTTGTATAAGAACTTATTTTCTGGCTCTTGATAAGAATTTGTGATTCCAGCTGCTGATTCTGCTGAGAACTTTATTCTTAAGGAATCCCAAAATATCCTTTTTGTTTCATTCTACTACAAGTGATGGTAAGCCGGGATAATTTATAGAATTCCATATCTCTCCAATCTCCATAGTGATGCGTATCATAGATCTCAGACGATTGTCATTAACATTAAGGGTGAGAAAAATTAAGAGTTGTGTATATTCACATTCAAACTTTTCTCCTTCCAATAAAGTGTTTCACGTTTCACGTCTCAAAATGAAATGGTATCACGTTTCTAGTTGTTCATGAGGCAAGTATGCTAAACATATAGTTTTCATATACTTGTTTATATAGCACATAATTTTGGTGATCTTTTGATATTTTTACCAAGTGTACATTTTTACTCTTTAATGAGTCAATAGAATTAACCCTTTACTTTTGATCAAGCCCCTAACATACAAATGTTGTATTAAGATACATTGTAGACATCATGTCTCATCTCATAAAAAAAAGTGATGAAGTCTCACTAGATTTTCAGGTGAGGCTATCAAGAATGGACACTTGAAAATCTATTGAG